CCACGGGCATTCAACTCGCAGTAGTTGATATCGGTTCCACGTTAACATGTATTTACATAACTTGATGAAACGTTGAAACTAAGTTGCAAGCTACTTTCTTAGCAAGGCGTTGTAGAACGAGTGTCTTATGAAACACATTCCAGACACTGGCTCTTGCTCAGGTAGATAGGATAGCCAGCTGCAGCTATCACCAAGCTATGCTAGCTAGCTGCTGTCAGCTTGGCTAAACACAAGGTCAGTGCAGGCTTTAGCCTACACATACAACTGAATTAGCTGACCATCATGAGATGGCGAGTCAGTCAAGAGGGGAGAAGTCCAACTTCAAAACCATTTCTTTATTCATAGCAAAGCTAGCTTAGTTTACCTCACTGTACTCACTACTGCACTTGTTTATTGTGATTGAATGGCAAAGACACACCCACATCAAACCACACCCCCAAGACAACTCTCGTTTGCCTTCCGTCATGGCTGCTAACATTTCTTAATGAGCATTGATCAAAAACGAGGCCAAATCAGGAAATGCAGTCGCCCTTTAGGCGTAGCACAGAGAATTTTCGACCAACTTTTAATTGTCGATACTTCCTCAATTCCTGACTTGGAAGACAACATGTCTTCTAAACTTCCATGTCTAGTTGTTGGGGTTTGTTTGAATTTAGAAAATGCTCCAGTCATCCGATGCTCCAAAAAAATGTTTCTGTAAAAAACAAATCAGTGCTAGCTAGTTAGCTACGTTTTTTACCTTGTTGGACCTGCGTTTACAATGTATCCAATTTCAGTTTGTGTGGTTGTTGGTTTAGCTTTCTTTGTAGCAAATACGGTCTGCATGTATAGGCAGGCGCATATTGTGTCATGATTGCAAGGTGTCCCGATACATTTTCCAACGGTCCCGTTATCTGGTTTTAATGTCCATTCTAGAATGCCCTTCTAGACAATCAGAAACTAGTATTCAATGATGTGGTATAATACATTTTTAAGTGTATATTCAGTATGAAATAAACATACAGTTACACAACAATCTACCTGTGTGGTTCAAGACTACCTATCACACATGTTTGGAGGCAAGTAGTTTTATCACCTCAAGGCTGTATGTGCCTGTAAAGCAGCCTACACGGTTTGTTACATAAACTGTATGGATTTGTTATAAATGCAGTTCACTTGTGCACAGATCTGTGTTGGACGTCTCTCTCTCTCTCTCTCTCTCTCTGCTATTGTGTAATGCTCCCACTGTAGAGGGTAGGCATGAGCGGTGAGTCACGGGTTGATTGTCATGTTATTCCGTTGGGAACGGGCACGGTTAACTGTAGTCTGATTAATCAGGCTGTAATACACAATTAATTGGTAGGCTATATATATCCTGAAACATTGGAGTACAAAATAGTGTAAATGTTCCTTACAAGCCAGAATGTTGAATAAATTTACATTTGACCTTAATCTAGTTATAAAAAAATAAATATAAAAATTAAATACATCTATTGAAATCCAAATAAAACAATGAAAATTCACACAAAAAGGTGTGGATTGTTCTCCATCCTCCCCTGATTCAGAATATACCATTTTCATTGTCATGGCCTGCTTCGTTCAATAGCTATTGACAAGAGAAACAAATATCCAATATAAAACTAACTTTACCTCGGATTAAAGAGTCAGATAATAAGTTGTATGGACTAACTCTGTGTGCAATAATGGTGTTTAACATAATTTTTTTATGACTACCCATCTCTACCGTACACATACAATTATCTGTAAGGTCCCTCAGTTGAGCAGTACATTTCAAGCACAGATTCAACGGCAAAGACCAAGGTTTTCCAATGCTACGCATAGAAGGGCACCTATTGGTACCTGTGTAAAAAAAATAAAAATAAAAAATAACAGCATACATGGTAAAGTTATTAATTACACTTTGGATGGTGCATCAAAACACCCAGTCACTACAAAGATACAGGTGTCCTTCCTAACTCAATTGACGGAGAGGAAGGTAACCGCTCAGGGATTTCACCATGAGGCCAATGGTGATTTTAAACCAGTTACAGAGTTTAATGGCTGTGATAGGAGAAAACTGAGGATGGATCAACAACATTGTATTTACTCCACAATACTAACCTAAATAACAGAGTGAAAAGAAGGAAGCCTCTACAGAATAAAAATATTCCAAAACATGTATCCTGTTTAGAATAAGGCACTAAAGTAATGCTGCAAAAAATGTGGCAAAGAAATCAACTTTTTGTCCTGAATACAAAGTATTATGTTTCGGGCAAATCCAACACAACACATCACATCACTGAGTACCACTCTTCATATTTTAAAGAATGGTGGTGGCTGCATCATGTTATGGGTATGCTTGTCATTGGCAAGGTCTAGGAAGTATTTAGGATAAAAAGAAAATAGAGCTAAGCACAGGCAACGTCTTAGAGGAAAACCTGGTTCAGTCTGCTTTCCAACAGACACTGGGAGAAAATGCGAGGCCAAATATACACAAGTTACTTACCAAGACGACATTGAATGTTCCTGAGTGGCGTAGTTACAGTTTTGACTTCAATCGTCTTGAAAATGGCAAGACTTGAAAATGTCTGTCTAGCAATGATTAACAACCAACTTGACAGAGCTTGAAGAATTGTACAATCCAGGTTTGCAAAGCTCTTAGAGACTTACCCAGAAAGAGTCAGCTGTAATTGCTGCCAAAGGTGATTCTACAATGTATTGACTGAGGGGTGTGAATAATTATGTACGTGAGATTTCTGTATTTCATTTTCAATACATTTGCAAAGGTTTCAAAAAACATGTTTTCACTTTGTCATATGGGGTATTGTGTGTGTGTGTGTATAGATGGGTGAGATTTGTAAAAATATTTAATCCATTTTGAATTCAGGCTGTAACACAACAAAATGTGGAATAAGTCAAGGGGTATGAGTACCGAAGTGTTTGAAAATGGGGGCTAAAAATACATTTCCGGAGAGTTAAGCAGCTACCGGAGCGAGGCGACACGGATTCGTAGCGGGGTCAGGAACCACAGTGTTTGGGTTGCAGCGAGTCGGGGGGCCATTTTCGCCATCGCGCAGGCCACTGATCCCTTGGCCAGTCAGTGTAACAGTGTAACAATTTCCCTTGTTCCCAGCTTGGAGGCTGACGAGAAGAGGGATTTTCCCGTACATACAATGTTATTGTGCTAACGAGGATCCTCATTACGAGCCGGCCCTCCCCCCACGTATTGACTCAGGGGGTTGAATACTTATCAAATCAAAATATACTGAACAAAAATATGAACGCAACATGCAACAATTTCTAAGATTTTACAGAGTTACAGTTTATATAAGGAAATCAGTCAATTGAAATAACTTCATTAGGCCCTAATCTATGGATTTCAGATGACTGGGATTGGGAATACAGATATGCATCTGTTGGTCACAGATATATATTTTGTGTACAGATCCTTGCGACATGGTGCTGTGCATTATCATCCTGAAACATGAGGTGATGGCGGCGGATGAATGGCACAACAATGGGCCTCAGGATCTCGTCATGGTATCTCTGTGCAATCAAATTGCCATCGATAAAATGCAATTGTGTTCGTTGTCCGTAGTTTATGCCTGCCAATACCATAACCCCACCGCCACCATAGGGCACTCTGTTCACAATGTTGACATCAGCAAACCGCTCGCCCACACGACGCCATACACGTTGTCTGTGGTTGTGAGGCTGGTTGGACGTACTGCCAAATTCTCAAAAAAGATGTTGGCCTTTTATTAATAATAATAATAATAATAATAATATGCCATTTAGCAGACGCTTTTATCCAAAGCGACTTACAGTCATGCGTGCATACATTTTTGTGTATGGGTGGTCCCGGGGATCGAACCCACTACCTTGGCGTTACAAGCGCCGTGCTCTACCAGCTGAGCTACAGCATAAGGTGCACCTGTGTAATGATCATGCTGTTTAATCAGCTTCTTGATATGCCACACCTGTCAGGTGGATGGATTATCTTGGCAATGGAGAAATGCTCACTAACAGGGATGTAAACAAATTTGTGTACAACAATGTAGAGAGAGGTTTTTGTGAGTATGGAACATTTCGGGGATCTTTTATTTCAGCTCATGAAACATGGGACCAACACTTTACATGTTGCTTTTATATTTTTGTTCTGTGTATATTAGTGTTTTCTTTGCCATGAATACAAATTCCACTTTGACATTCAACTATTTTGTGTAGATCAAATAAAAATTAAAAAAAGACAATTAAATCAATTTTAATCCCACTTTATAACACAACAAAATGTGGAAAAAGTCAAAGGGTGTGAATACTTTCTGAAAGCACTGTACCTACCGTCTCTCTAAAAAGTCAGGTAAACAATACTTTCCTGTGGATATTTTGTCTCAAATTTTGAGCAGCTGATGGACAAAATGCACAGACAACCAATAGAGTAAGTTCAAATGTAATTTTTTCCAACATTCTGGCTTGTAAGGAAAATTTACACGATTTTGCACTAATGTTTCAGGCTGGATACATCAATTAATTGTGTATTAAAGCCTGATTTAATTAGACTAGGATAACTGGTTCTTCTGAGTGAGCTGGGATGGTATCATGAGTTTCATTAGGCTACTGGGGTAAGAGGGTTTGGGAACCTCCTGATGGTCATCGGTTGGCAACTTTTCGGGCATTTGAGTGGAAAATTCAAAGCAGAACATTGACATTCAAAGCAGATTATCTATTTCCACCCCAGATTATTTTTTAAATACATTTTACCTTTATTTTAACAGGGAAGACCTATTGAGACCTAGGTCTCTTTCGACAACATTCCATGGTGTTTGTCTTCTTTGAAACAGTAATGCCATAGTAACATTCAATTGCAAAACTTAAATATCCTACCTGGTTCCAGTTGACATCCTATATTTGTCCCGACAGGTAGACAGTCTCCATGCTCCTCTGGTAGCCTGTTGCTGATGCTGCAGAGATAACCGAGCTCTCAAGCAGGCAGACGTAGAACCACCGGGACCAGGGCAGGGATGTCCAACAGACAGTCGGACGTCTCCATGGGCGATCAGGCCCCCCTCTTGCTGGAGCGACGCTTCTCCTCCGACCTGCAGCTGGACTGTCACTCGACGGAAAACCACCATGGCCAACCGCAGGGCTTGCCCACATCCCAGGCTGAGCCCTCGTTGGCCGAAGGCTCCGAGGGGCGGGAGCCTGTCTTCCTTAGCACGCAAAGCGCTGCGGCGCAGAAGCTGGGCACCCAGCAGCTCATCCCTAAGAGCCTGGCGGTGGCCAGTCGACACAATAAGCCCCGCCACCACACCACCGTGGTCACCTTCCCCTTGGGTCTGGAGGTCTCCTCCAACACCCCCTCCTCCAGGAGCCGCCACTCTGCCATGGGGCCCGATCTTTCCTGGGAGGACTACGACAGCGACGGGGATGGCTTCTCACTGAGGAGGAACCGCAGGAACAAGTCGTACCGAGCGGCAGTGACCAGCCTCGACATAGACGCCATGGCAAAGAACCGAGGGAGCGCCAACACACTCAAGCCCGTGAGGGAGGACAGCAGAGCCTCCAGCCCCGGGCCGGCACGCAGTCCCGGACGCAAGGCAAGTGGGAGCAAGACGCTGGTTGAATTCCATCTCTATCCCCCCTGCTATCCCCTAGGGCTAGGCAACCCTGGTCCTGGAGTGCCACAGGCACTTTGTGTTTTTGATTTAACATTTGTGCTTTAGATCTGGGAGACCAGGTGTGTTGAATTTAGCCAATTACTGAAAATGGGGAGGATTGGTAGAACCTGCGGAACTCCAAGAACAGGGTTGCCAGGGCCTAGGCACTTCTGTGTATCTGAAAGGGATAATTTATCAATCACTCTTCACTCCTCAGTTTGTGTGTCTATCCAGCAGCCTAGGAGTCATCGGTGCCAAAGTGCTGGTGATGATGAGTCCCTAAGTTAGAAGCCATCTTTAGTTAGAATGTGGTCAAATTTCCAGGACAACTTCCCTTGCAAAAACTGTTAGTGTCGTCAGTCAAGGAAGACCTGCACTATGGTTTTAACGTGGACCAAAACGTATTGACTGAATTGCTTGAGAGGGAGGCGGAGGAGAGGGAGACAGAATGTTGAGGCCCTCTCCCACCTTCCTCTATGATTAACTCATGCTGTGTCTCCACCATTTCCCCTTTAGAGAACCTTGGGGAGAAAGAGGAACCAGAAGCATAGGGGCTCTTTCAAAGATGGTACGTATGTGTCACTCCTCCCGGCTGACAGAGCTTTTCCCCTAGAGACGCAGATGACTGGTCTGGGTGCCAATCTGTTTCTTTGCAAAAGAGCAGAAACATATCAAACACAAAAATAATCTGTTAGCATCAGTGAGATTAATCGATAATGAGCTGTTATTTATTATGAGTGAGGATTTTGTCAGTGATTGTAATTTTTAATTCACCTCCTGAACTTCAAATGGAATTGGTTGACCTGCATTCCTGGTTAGCATGATGGTACAGCAATGTAAGTGTTTTGAGTAAAAGCTAATAGTCTAGGGCGCTTAGTGATAGGCTGGTAAGAGTATTTTGGATGACACGTATAAGTATATCTCAAGTATGTGTAATACTTGAGAGAAAGCTTTGAACATTGGTAACCACCTGTCTCATCCTCTGTTTCCTAAATTGGAAATGGTAGCCTCAGGGAGGCTCAATAGAGTGCAACAGGACATCTCTCAGCTCTGTCTGAATGCACTCAGGATACTGAACATTTTGAATGTCCTGCATTTTGATCCGCTCTTTTCCTTATTATTTTTCCCTAGTTCACTATGTATTGGTTCTTGCATTTTTCATTTTGTCGAAAATAGTGTTCTTAATGACAGTGAAGTGATGACTTGATGAAGTTGTCCATGCATTTCAAAATGTTCAGTGTAAGCTATAAGTACAAAAGCCATTTCAACATTGCGTGGAACAATAAAGTTATTCCAATTCGATTCTCTCGCCCGCAGATCCTCAGCTGTACCAGGAGATCAGGGAGCGGGGTCTGCACCCCAACTCTCCAAGTATGGAGGACGATGACTTTGTCCATGTGGAGCCTCCTGAGGAAGACCACAGCATCGTGGTCAAGAGCTACAGGCCAGCACAGGTCACTTGGAGCTCGCTACCACAGGTACACAGGGAGGAGCAGAGGGGTCTCCCAGGCCAGGGTGGACTGGTAGGGTCCCATGATCTGAACCCTGATGGCAGATATGTGTGCGACTGTGCATCAACACCAAACTTTGGCGCGAATCATACGGTTTAAAGAAGCCAATAAACTTGGCACTAGCTAGGTTTCCATCCAATTGATGACAGATTTTCATGCAAATATTCTAAAATACATATAAAAACATTCTACCACCAGAATATTCTAAAATACGCATAAACACATTCTCCCACCAGAGATGTCTTTCCATCCAATTGACTTGTTGCGTAAAAGACTGTGCGTGATGACGTAGTGCACATAAAAATAATTTTTGCGGTTAAATTCCCATGTACCGAATAAAAAATACAAGTTAAATGGGTTTCCATCGCATTTTCAATTATATTGATGGTTGTCACAAAACATTTTGCGTTATATAGTGAATGTGCCCGCTCTGGTCTTGGTACACGCACTCTCGCCAACAGCTCGCAGATACAGTGCGGGTATAGCCTAGGCCTACATGATAAATTATTATTGATCAAATTATTATTACGGACATTTTTATTTGTCAAACGGCAGCCGAGCAGCGATCATCATGTCACCAGAGTAAGACCCTTGATATTTATTGGAAAGGAGCATTTAGCAGACGCTCTTATCCAGAGCGACTTACAGGAGCAGTTAGGGTTAAGAGCCTTGCTCAAGGGCACATCGACAGATTTTTCACCTAGTCGGCTTGGGGATTAGAACCAGCGACCTTTCGGTTACTGGCACAACGCTCTTAACCACTAAGCTACCTGCCACCTAGAATGAAAATGGTTGAAAAGAGTTTTGTTCCTAAAATCTTTCATTCTAAGTTTTTATACTCGCTTAGTCCTATGAAGACAAATAACGTTTTTAAACCAAAAGGTAGTGTTCAATTATATTTTAACCCCATATATGAATGATTTCAAAAGGGACTCGCGTGAACCCATTGGCCATTTCATTTATGTAGTTTGAATGGAATTGAGCCCAACTCTGCAAATGACAAAATTTTCAGTGCAATCGCATTCCCATATGGATACAGAGTGCTCTGTGATACTGCTTAAGCAACATATTACAGTACTATGATGTTTAAATGACAGTTTGTTCTAATCATCATCCTTCCTCTATGCTTCAGGTGAAGGATACCGGTATTCTTCAGAGGATCTCGGCTGAGGAGCGGAAGCGACAGGAGGTGTGTGTGTGTGTGTGGTGGTGGTGGGGGGGGACTGCCTCCTCCGGGACTCTTTATTGGGAGTCAGAACACACTCTTGTCTAAATAGCAAAGTCCACCCAGTACGCTCTCTGTGCTAATACAGCCACACCCTCCATTCGTTGGCCGCCTTAGTCTATCCACTCCCACTGGCTAATCTTGTTATGTCAACAGCAATATAATAATAATAATAATAATATGCCATTTAGCAGACGCTTTTATCCAAAGCGACTTACAGTCATGCGTGCATACATTTTTTCCTTCTCAAAAGCACCTAGATGAGTTTTAAACTAGATTTATCAGTGGTATCTTCTACTCTATAAGGTGAATGCTTAAAGTTATAGCTAGCTTATAAACTCCATATATTTTGTTGGATTAAAGTTTCCAGTTAAGTGTCCTTTGGGGGCACCATCCATTGTCATGGACAGGCATTGAGCTCTATTGCATATGAATGGGACATGGTCCATTCAAAATGGTCGTTAGATATAACTGATACATAGTAAAAGATGTCTAACATTCGGTTTCGAGAAGTTGGGAACACATAGTAGTAGACGTCAATGAAATGGAAAGTGTTCTTCGAAGTGGCCTTTGCGTCTTCACCATATCCCATGTAATCTTTTACAGTCTAGTTCATTTACATCTTGCGAGGGTATTTTCCCAACAGTTAACGGCTAGAGAAGCTGAATGGTGACGCTATGTTCTCTGTTGTTGCTGTTGTTTACAAATTTTTGTCATTGGTAGTATGTGTCTTGCTGTATCTTTGAATGCTGATCTGTCTGCTCCTACCTCTCTCTCTGTGTGTGTGTGTGTGTGTGTGTGTGTGTATTTATATATTTATTTATTTATTTATTTGCAACTACACTGAAAAAATATATATAAATGCAACATGTAAAGTGTTGGTCCCATGTTTCATGAGCTGAAATAAAAGATCCCAGAAATGTTCCATACTCATAAAAGGCTTATTTCTCTCAAATTCTGTGCACAAATGTGTTTACATCCCTGTTAGTGAGAATTTCTCATTTGCCAAGATAATCCATCCACCTGACAGGTGTGGCATATCAAGAAGCTGATTAAACAGCATGATCATTACACAGGTGCATCTTGTGCTGGAGACAATAAAAGGCCAACATCTTTTTTGTCACACACAATGCTACAGATGTCTCAAGTTTTGAGGGAGCGTGCAATTGGCATGCTGACTGCAGGAATGTCCACCAGAGTTGTTGCCAGAGAACTGAATGTTCATTTCTCTACCATAAGCCGCCTCCAACATCGTTTTAGAGAATTTGGCAGTATGTCCAATCGGCCACACAACCACAGACCACGTGTAACCACGCCAGACAAGGACCTCCACATCCGGCTTCTTCACCTGCTGGATCGTCTGACACCAGCCACCCGGACAGCTGATGAAACTATGGGTTTGCACAACCGAAGAATGTCTGCACAAACTGTCAGAAACCGTCTCAGGGAAGCTCATGTGGGTGCTTGTCGTCCTCACCAGGGTCTTGACCTTACTGCTGTTCGGCGTCGTAACCGACTTCAGTGGGCAAATGCTCACCTTCGATGGCCACTGGCACGCTGGAGAAGTGAGCTCTTCACGGATTAATCCCGGTTTCAACTGCACCGGGCAGATGGCATACATCGTGTATGGCGTCGTGTGGGCGAGCAGTTTGCTGATGTCAACGTTGTGAACAGAGTGTCCAGCATCTTCGCACAGCCATTAAAGAGGAGTGGGACAACATTCCACAGGCCACAGTCAACAGCCTGATCAACTCTATGCGAAGGAGATGTGTCACGCTGAATGAGGCAAATGGTGGTCACACCAGATACTGACTGATTTTCTGATCCACACCCCTACATTTTTTGTTTAGGTATTTGTGACCAACAGATACATATCTGTATTTCCAGTCATGTGAAATCCATAGATTAGGGCCTAATGAATTTATTTCAATTGACTGATTTCCTTATATGAACTGTAACTCAGTAAAATATTTGAAATTGTTTCATGTTGCGTTTATATTTTTGTTCAGTGTAGTTTACTAAAGGGTTCTCCATGCCGTATAGGGGCCTTTTTCCCTACTGAATTTCTCTTACTTGTGATTTTGGCAGGCCATCTTTGAGATCATCACGTCGGAGTACTCATACCTCCACAGCCTCAGTATCCTGGTGCGCCACTTCAAGGGGAGCGAGGCGCTGCGGAAGACCATAACCGCCACTGAGCACCACCACCTCTTCTCCAACATCGCTGTCATCGAAGGCGTCAGCAAAAGGTAGTATATATCTCCAGGACTGCAGATGGAGACAGCTGGTTAGGATGCTCCCAGTTTGAATGCCACAAAATTGCGATCTGGCTTGCGGTTGGAATAGTGAGGTTATTAGTGGCAAACAGTCATCTGGCAAACAGGGCTGTAGTCTATATACCCTTTAATGGATGCATTTATGCTGACTGTTTGCCTGATCCAAACCTGTACTTTAGTAGTCAACTCCTCTGACTATCATTGTGATGCCATACTTCCGAGTCATGTGACCAGGAAGTAGGAAGCAAATAGTTTGAGTGGTGATACATCGCTTCTGTGTTTTATACTTTTTAAAACACTTATACGTGTTTACATTTTTAAGACACTTATATATTTTATACCTTTTAAAACATTTGTTTTAGTTTTGGACAACGGTGTTAATACTGTTCTTAACACACCATGTTGGTTGGATTTTATCGTCTCCTGGAGCTAACTTTAGCAGGCTAGCCCCGGCTAGCTCCGACTAGCTAGGTTACCTGGCCGTAACCGGCAAAGCTTATCTTATGTCACGGTTGGCTCTTGTAGCCGGGACGTGCCCCAATAGCACGTCCCACAGGCTTGCAGCGACCCTCTCGTCGTCCTCTGGTGGTGGTTGTTATATGATTAGTGATGTGGTGGTTGCGGAAGTAAGGACCCACTGCTTCCCTGGAGCCCGTGTTCGGAACATAAATCACCAGGTCCCTGCTGTGATTGAGAAGCATCCGAATGCTCACACAGTAGTCATTCATGTTGGTGAAAACAACATCAATCTTCATAAATTGGAGCAATTAAAAGATTACTTCAGAGGGCACATAGGCAGGCTAAAGGAGACAGGCAAGCGGGTTCTCATTTCCGGGCTTCTACCAACAATAGGTTGTGGTATTGAACTCTTTAGTCATCTTCTCTGGCTACACTATTGGCTTAAATCCTAGTGTTCCTCTATGGATTTGGAGTACATTTAAACAAATCTGGGGGTGACCAAAATGTTTATTTGTTTTGTTATTTTTTGTTGGGGGGGTTACATGTACATTTATCAATTTGAAATTATACGTTTATAAAACCTGTACCCCCCCTTCTCCCCCAAAACAAAAAAAACTGTTAGAAATAACTATAGAGTTTAATAATACATTCAGTATAAACAGGAACAGAAAACAAAAAAGAAGTGGGCCTCCATCCCGAACCTCCCATCCCATTCCCCCAAGCCAACATGTCTCCATCCAACCCCCACTCCTGGAAATAATGTTTCCCACCCCTTCTCACCCCCCACTAGAAACTAGGGTTGCTCTCTATACCCAGCCAGGGAGCGGAAGAATCATGTCTAAACCAATTTAGGATGGTACAAGATGCTAATGCCTGGAAATACAATTTCAAGTTTGGTACGGATAGTCCTCCTACTTCTTGACAATTTTCACCACTTTTTGGAAACGCCCCAGTTTTACAAGAGGGATGGCTTGCATCCAAATATGAAAGGGGTAAAAGTTATCTCGGCCAACATAGAGGAGGCGCTTATAAAACATTGACTAAAAAACAGCCCAACCCCTGCTCAGGTAACTCATACCATTCCCACTATTTCACAGCGTTATCGTCGTACTGCTACAAATAACCATATTCCCAGGGGTATTGTCAGTAATAATCTTGTGACCATAAATGTCACGACTTCCTCCGAGGCTGCCTCCTCTCCTTGTTTGGGCAGGCTTCGGCGTTCGTTGTCACCGGCCTTCTAGCCACTGCCGCTCCTCATCTCATCATTCCATTTGTTTTGTCTTGTTTATTACACACACCTGGTTCATATCCCCTCATCAGTACCTGTATAAGTGTTCCCTCTGCCCCCTTGTCTTTGTGTGTGATTGTTTATTGTGAGGATAGTGATGCTCTGTGTAAAATTTTTTTTAAAGCTTTCTGTTCCTCTGATTTGCAGAATCTTTAACACGTATTTTTAACCTTACAATTATTTCTGTTACCATCCTCAGGGTCAGGAAGGCGGCCCATATACTCCCCCTTCACAAAGGTGGTGACCTAAATAATTATTGCCCCATTTCCAAACTCTTGCATAGCAACAATTCTAGAATCCTTGGTAAATAATCAACTTAGACCCTTTTTAACTATGAATTGTATTTTAAATGTTAGGTTTCAGACCAGGCCATAGCATCATCTCTGCTACTTCTTTACTTCTCTGCTACTTCATTCTGACCAATTCACATAGAAATTGAATTTATAGATATGTCATTCTCATCGAAAGCAAATCTAAGAAGCGGTAGATCTGTTCTATGTGCGCTATTTCTATGCTTCCTGGTTTAGACGGTACAATGGAGGTACAATGATTCTCTCTACACTATACTTACTTGTTTTGTCACAAACTGAAATTAGGCGAACTATTAGAATTTTAGCAACCAGGAAATGTCGGAGCGATTTCTGCATAGTGCATTTTTAGATTATGTTCTTAATTGTTTGGACTATGCGGCCCTTTTTTATTGACCTGTCTAATGCCTTCGACACTGTGGATCACTCATTGCTTATAAAGTAGGCTGTCCTTGAAGTCTCGTAGATCGATGTATTGCGCTCTTTTTGTCTATAAAGCCCTCTTGCAGAAACTTCCGCCATACCTTACCGTCTCCTGGAGCTAACTTTAGCAGGCTAGCCCCGGCTAGCTCCGACTAGCTAGGTTACCTGGCCGTAACCGGCAATCTTATCTTATGTCACGGTTGGCTCTTGTAACAACAGGCCAGTCTGGTAGTCTCGTAGATCAATGTCATTTGCACCTGAGCTTCAATGAAAGCTAGCAGACTAGTAACAGCTAGGACTAGTAACACTCACACTCAGACATTCCTAGAGCAAAATGATTGATGTTATCAACGTTTTAGAAATGCTTGTATGGACAAACATTGACACAACATTGAAACAACGTCAGTGAATTATTTATATATATATTTCAGGCTACTGTACTAGTATTCCCATTTATAATTGGCTGCTTGCACAGTTTAAAGGTTCACAATGGGATAATTTAGATGGGATTTGAACATGAGTAAGTCTCCTAGGAGGACTCACGGGATGTGTTTAAACACGCTGGCTCAACCGGTTCTGCTGCCTAGTCGGTCGGGAGGTATTCAGCAAAGCTTTAAGATCATGTTACTGAAAGCAGGTCGCGTTCAAAGCAAGGCTGCATTGTTATTGATGACTGCTGCTGCTTTTTGAATGAAAATGGATCTCTGTCAACGGCTATTGCACAAATCATTATTTGTAGTTATGCGGCTGCTCCCCAGTTGAAATTTAATGGAAAACACTCAGTTCTGTTGAAACTGACGGGTGTAACTTGAAAGGGTTTGCTCGACTATCACCCATTCTGACCTTCTTATCTCCTTTTGGTGTGTGTGGGAATGTGTGTGACTTTGCTTTCTGGGTTGAGCTGTTGTTTTGGGTGTCAGTTTACTCCCGGTATTTCAGCACAAAATGACTGGGAGCTGGAAGGAAGGCTACAGTTGTTTCTATTTACTGGCACATTGGAAATTATACTATTAGTACTATTAATATTAGACGCCTACTAGTGTTACATAACTAGACTAGCTAATTCTTTTATCTAACTAGATTTCTTTTAATGCTTTCCTGGCTCAAACTTATTAGTGTAGTAGATTTTAGTATTTTGTTTTGATTGCTGTGCACTCGCTGAGATAGTGGGTGATGAATTCAAATTACGATAATATGCAGAATAAGCCTTTAAAAGTGGACAAACACATCAACTCTTAATTACAACATTTAAATTTTACAGTTAGTGAGTGCATACATTATTTTTTTATTTGTCATACCCCCCCGCGGGAATCGAACCCACAACCCTGGCGTTGCAAACGCCATGCTCTACCAACTGAGCTACATGCCTGCCGGCCATTCCCGCCCCTACCCTGGACGACGCTGGGCCAATTGTGCTCCCCATGGGTCTCCCGGTCGCGGCAGAGCCTGGATTCGAACCAGGATCTCTAGTGGCACAGCTAGCACTGCCTTAGACCACTGCGCCACTCGGGAGGCATTTGTACAATGCTACTGCTGCTGACTGCACTTTTGAATGATTCTCCATGTAATGGCCTTAGTTACTGCGGTTATTATTAAACGGCTGCTCCGGTACAGTAGCCCTTATCATGAGTAGAGAGAGAAAGAGTGGGAGAAAGGAACAGTTATGCACGTGTTCTGTTCTCAACAGGTTTTTCGAGGACCTTGAAAGGCGTCACCAGGACAACGTGGTGATCCAGGACATCAGCGACATAGTGCAGAACCACGCCGCCCACCACTTTGAGCCCTACATTGTGTACTGCTCCAACGAGACCTTCCAGCAGAGGACGCTGCAGAAGCTGCTGTGAGTAGAGGTCAATTAAGGGGCCTGTTTGAAAACTTTAGAAATGCTTCCTTTCTTTCCTTCTTCCTTCCTTCAAGTACAGATCTATAAGTGATTGGATAGGTGTACTTTCACCTATCTAACTAATTCAGATCTGTGATTACTTCAAGGAAGGTTGGAAGGAAGGAAGCATTTCTGAAGTATTCGAACAGGGCCCAGAACAGAAACCCTGATCGAATACTTTGAACATGCATCCATCCCTTGGTCCTCCTATCCTTGAAGTAATCAAATCACTAATCTAAAATGGTTGGATAGATGAAAGTAAGGATTCCACTATGTAGGTAACACCAATCCAGTCATGTTGTATCAGTGATTAGGCTAAGTATTGAAGGATAATGCAATGTTGAAATGATTCAAACACAACATAAAGTGGCTTCCTTTCTTCAACTCCTTTCCTCCTGTGTGTGCATGTCTCAGAACGAACAACACTGCCTTTAAGGAGGTGCTGAAACAGATTGAGGGGAGCGGCGAGTCCCAAGGTCTGCCCATGATCTCCTTCCTCATCCTCCCCATGCAGAGAGTCACCCGGCTGCCGCTGCTACTAGACGTGAGTCCCACACTCTTTCTCTATGATGGGAGTCAACTGGTGAATTCTTTGTCTTGATTCCTCGTGTCCTTTCTCCTTGCCTCATCTCAAAACGTTGAGTGAGCAGAACATTGGAGATCTTTTTCTCTGATCTCCTCATTTCCCTCAAGAAGAAGGGTCAGTGGAATCAAGACTTTTGAGGTTCTTCCATTGCTGAATGGCTATGGGGGCCCCTAATGGAGAGAGACTATTCTAGACCAGTGGTTCCCAACCATTTTTGGGTAATGTACCCCTAAAACACTTTGACCTGCCTGAAGTACCCCCTCATGCGTGTGCGACCGGCGTGATTCCTAGATTTGGTGTAAATTTGTCAATAATTTGGTTTACGAGCCCAGTCAAATTTGGCAGACTTATTTTCAATGTCAGGGAAGTTGAACTCACTGTTGAGTTTAGATAAATGTGAGCTTACTATTTGCACCATAGGATCTCTGTCAACATCACCTGTAAAAAGTTAAGTGTCAAGCTGCTGGAAACCACTTATTTCCCCATCTTCACATTTCTTCTCCCAGAGTTTGATCTTCTTTATGAATCCACACACTTTGTCATACATGTTTAGAACGTGTGTGCCTTTACCTTGCAGAGTTAGACTCAGGTTGTTCAGTTTGCTGAACACATCAGCAAGATAGGCAAGGCAGGCTCCCCAGTCTGTGTCCTCGAACACAGCCACAAGGGCGTGTGAGTACTCAGACAGAAAATCACTTACTTCGGCACACAGCTCAAAAAGCCTCTGTAGCGTTTTCCCAACGGACGTCGGTTTGAAGCAGTAGCTGCTGGTGCTCAGTTCCACTGTCATCACAGAGCCTTTCAAACAGTCGGTGATTCAGAGGCCTGGACACAGTGAAATTTAATCACTTTCACTGCGTCATTCAAAACATAACTCAGGACTCATTCTCGTGTTGGCCAATGCCTCTCTGTGAATGATACAGTGGGATTTACCTTTATGTGGGCAATTAATAATTTCACTCTCCCAGGCATTGATACAGCACGATCTGTGCACACATGAACACAGGATTTCCTATCCAGATTGTGCTCTGAGAAAAAGCTGTCAATAACATGAAACACATCCTCACCTGTAGTTCTCCCCGTTAGCTTCTTGCAGAACTGTCACGGTTCAGACAGACGACCAGAGGACCACAATTGCGTCACACCAGAAAGTTTATTAAAACTTAAGGGAAAAGGGAAGTAGGGAGTGAATGAAGGCTCCAGGGGTAACAGGGATCCCGTCCAATGTGCTGGGTCTGTGCCCCCCCCAGTGGCAGCGATGCGTCCTATGAAGCCGGTGGTGGGTGGTCCAGAAGTCCTGGGGGGGGGAGACACAGACACAACAGGGCGGAATGAAACAAGGCAGCAGTACAGTTCAAGGGAAATCCAAAATACGTAGTAGCAAGGCAGAAGGCTGGTCAGAGTTACCGGGATTGCAGAGTAGTCAGGAGTCGTGATGGCAGAAGCAGGTCTGGATCTCCTGGGGCAGAAGAGTATCCAAAAATCAGGCAGGTCCGGGGTCACAAAACCAGGGTGAGCCAGAAGCGCGAGCAAACAGGTTCCGGGTGTGAGCTTTGCAGACGATCTGACACCGGAGAGCTGAAAGACAGGGCCTTAAATACTGGGAGAGGTAGTGGGTAATGCAGCGCAGCTGGCAGAGTAATTAGAGCAGAGCAGAGCAGGGACAGGTGGAGCTAGTTAGGCTGAGTAGAGAGAGTGGTGAGCAGAGTGGAAGAAAATAAAGGTGGTAACCCGGTGGAGTGAGAGGCTCATGACAGAACCCCCCCCCCAAGGGACGGCCCCAGAAGTCCCAAGAGCAACACCACGCCGGGCGGGAGGAGGGGAGCCGGAGGAGGGCTAGAACTCCTCCGAACGGTCCGAGTGAACGTCCTCATCCTCGGAGGAAGCCGGAGGGCCGTGGTCGGGAGATGGGACAGGTCCCGAGACAGGATCAGGCACAGGACAGGAAGCCGAGCGGACAGGACGGTTAGGGACCCCTCTGGGGCGGCCCCTACGGATTGCAGGTTGATCAGGATGCCGTTGGTGGAAAGCGGTGATGAGAGTCCTATCCACAATCCGACTAGCTGGCACCCAGGTCCTTTCCTCAGGTCCATAGCCCTCCCAGTCAATGAGGTACTGGAGACCCCTACCCCTCCGTCTGGACCGAAGCAGGCGGCGGACGGTGTAAACCAGACCACCATCGACGAGCCGTGGAGGAGGAGGACAAGGCGCAGCAGGGACCAGCGGACTCTCATGGATGGGCTTAATCTTAGACACATGGAAAGTGGGGTGCACCCTCAGGGAATTAGGCAGTTGGAGCCGGACAGCAGTTGGGCTAATCACTCTTATGATAGGGAATGGGCCAATGAACCGAGGTGCCAGCTTCTGCGACTCCACCCTGAGTGGCAGGTTCTTCGATGACAACCACACCCTTTGACCAACATGGTAGGTGGGAGCAGGAATTCTCCGACGGTTGGCCCCGGTAGTGTAGCTGGCAACGGATCTGAGGAGTGTGGCTCGGGCTTGTGACCAGGTGCGGCGACATCGACGGGCAAAAGCAAGTGCAGATGGGCAAGTAACCTCCTCTTCCTGGCTGGCAAATAGAGGAGGCTGGTACCCATAAACACATTGGAAAGGGGACATACCGATGGCAGAGCAGGTCAGAGAATTGTGTGCGTACTCCACCCATGTCAATTGCTGCGACCAGGAGTGGGGGTTGCGTGAAGTCATGCATCGCAGTGCCTTCTCGAGCTCCTGATTAGCCCGTTCTGACTGCCCATTGGATTGGGGATGGAATCCGGAAGTCAGACTGACTGTGGCTCCCAGCAGGTGACAGAACTCCTTCCAAAAAGCGGAGGAGAATTGTGGACCACGGTCAGAAACTACGTCCTTTGGCAGTCCGTGGATCCGGAAGACGTGTTCCAGGACCACCTGGGCGGTCTCCTTGGCGGTTGGGAGCTTGGGGAGGGGAATGAAGTGTGCCATCTTGCTGAAACGGTCAACTATGGTGAGAATGACGGTCATGCCACTTGAAGGGGGCAGCCCCGTGACAAAGTCAAGGGCGATGTGAGACCAGGGACGTCTGGGCACAGGCAGGGGCTGCAGCAATCCGGCTGGGGGCTGGCAGGACGACTTGTGTTGGTTGCAGATGGGGCAGGCTTGGACGAATTCCCGTACATCCTTTCTCAGAGAGGGCCACCAGAACCTCTGGGCGAGCAGGTTGTAAGTGCGGGTGGAGCCAGGGTGACAAGCTAGGCGGGAGTCATGTCCCCACTGAACGACCTGGGACCTCAGGTCTTCGGGGACAAAAAGGCGGTCAGCTGGGCAAGTGCTGGGACCTGGCTGGTTACGGAGAGCCTCCAGCACCTGTTCCTCAACAGCCCAGGTCAGAGCTGCAACGATGCAGGGACTTGGCAGAATCGACACAGGGTCCTTGGAGGGGGTGTCATCCTTCTGGAATTGACGGGAGAGGGCGTCTGGCTTGGTGTTGCGTGATCCAGGCCGGTATGACAGAGTGAAATTAAACCTGGTGAAGAACAGGGCCCAGCGGGACTGCCTGGAGTTCAACCGTTTGGCCGTGCGGATGTACTCCAAGTTCTTATGATCGGTCCAAACGAGAAATGGAACGGTGGACCCCTCCAGCCAGTGACGCCACTCCTCCAAGGCAAGCTTCACAGCCAGCAGCTCACGGTTCCCTATGTCGTAATTGCACTCAGAGGGGGACAACCGACGTGAGAAAAAGGCACAGGGATGGAGCTTCCTATCCTCCGCAGCCCACTGAGAAATCACAGCACCAACTCCCACATCCGAGGCGTCCACCTCCACAATGAATTGCCGGTCCACATCAGGCATCTGGAGGATAGGAGCGGAGGTGAACCTCACCTTGAGGGTACTGAAGGCTTTGTCGGCTGCTGGGGTCCAGGTGAAGGGTTGCTTGGTGCTGGTTAGAGCAGTGAGAGGGGCAGCAACGGTACTGTAGTTCCGGATAAACTTTCTATAGAAGTTAGCAAATCCCAGAAACTGTTGCAGCTTCTTTCTGTTCTCCGGAACTGGCCATGAAGTGACTGCTGATACTTTGGCAGGATCCATTTGGATACTTCCCTCTGCCACTATGTACCCCAGGAAGGCCACTGTCTTGACGTGAAACTCACATTTCTCTGCCTTGGCGTAGAGGGAATTCTCCAGAAGACGATGAAGGACTTGCTGGACATGGCGGGTGTGTTCAGACAGGTTTCTGGAGTAGATTAAGATGTCATCCAGGTAAACGAAGACAAACTTGTTTAACATGTCCCGCAGTACATCATTCACTAGAGCCTGGAACACAGCAGGAGCATTGGTGAGGCCAAAAGGCATAACCAGATACTCGTAGTGGCCTGTTGGTGTATTGAATGCGGTTTTCCATTCATCTCCCTCCCGGATCCGCACTAGGTGGTAAGCGTTTCTGAGATCCAACTTGGTAAAAACAGTGGCTCCCTGGAGCAACTCAAAAGCAGAGGTGAGCAGAGGCAGAGGGTAACGGTTTTTCACTGTGATGTCGTTGAGTCCCCTGTAGTCGATGCAGGGGCGAAGGGATCCGTCCTTCTTCCCCACAAAGAAGAAGCCAGCACCAGCAGGAGATGAAGATGAACGGATTAATCCTGCGGACAGAGAGCCATTGATGTAGTCCTCCATGGACTTTCTTTCAGGAGCAGACAACGAATAAAGACGACCCTTTGGAGGGGCTGTTCCAGGGAGGAGGTCGATGGCACAGTCGTACGGTCGGTGAGGGGGCAGAGATGTGGCTCTTGCTTTGTTAAACACCTCTCTGAGACCATGGTAGCATTCTGGGACATTGGAGAGGTCAGGAGCTGAGTTAGTAGGTACTGGCCGAGGGGGTAGTGCGGCAGCAAGCAGGCAGGTTCGGTGGCAGTCCTCTCCCCACTCCCTGATCACCCCGGTCACCCAGTCGAGCTGAGGGTTGTGCCGGCGGAGCCATGGGTAACCCAGGATGAGGGGTTGGCCTGGAGAGGGGAGCAGGTGAAACTGGATAGTTTCTT